TGTTTTTTTATATGCTTCTTAAAATCTTATTTAATAATATTTTATTAAAATAATTTCTAAAAATTATTCTTACTTTTTAGTTTTAAAAACTTGAAAATCAAACTTAGTAAGAGGAGTTTTACGTTTTAGTTTTTACTTTTAGTAATAAGTAGTAACGTGTTTACTAATAATTATATTAAATCACACATTTTTTTTATCACCATAAAATTATCAAAATTATTTTTTAACTTTTGTTACAATTTTTTATGATAATCTATATTATTTTCTTTTTTCTAAAATAATTTTTAAAAATCAAATTATCTAATAATTATTTTTCAACTTATTTTCAAAATTTAAAATTGATATCTAAGATGTTTTTAGAAAACTGATTACAATCACTAAATATAAACCCTTTCTCCAAAAAATAATAATTTAATATCAAAGAATATATTAATTACTAAATAAATAAGCATAATAATTAAATTAATCAATATAAAATTGAATTTAAATTTGTCAAATATGATATAAAATTTAGGTTTTGTAAATATAATATAAAAGAATAGTGATGCTTGGTTTTATAAATAAATCTCTCTCTCTCTCTCTCTCTCTCTCTCATATATATATATATATATATATATATATATATATATATATATATATATATATAAACAAATTATTGAAAATAGTGAAGTACATATTCACTATAAAAATAATTTATATTCAGTATATATATTATTAGATATAAGAAATTTATTAGTTTTTGTAATGACTATCTTACATGTTAAACTAATAATAATTTATAATTAAATGATAGAATTAAATTATATATATGTTTGTGTCCTTTTTTAATAAATTGAATTTTAATTTCTATATTTAAAAATATATTAATTAGTTTTCAAATTTTTAAAAATATATGTAAATTTAATTATTTCATCAATTTTACGACAATAAAAAGTATTGTTAAATATTCAATTTAAATATAAAAAAGTATATCATAATTAATTCTTTTATCAGTCTTATTAAACTTAAAAATCATCATTAAATATTAAATTTAATTATAAAAAAATATTAAAATAAAATATAATTATTAATCAGAGGACCAACTAATCATGTATATTAATTAGAGATGGTTGGAATACATAAAAAAAAATTCAGTATATAGCAATTAAGTATATTCAACAAACTAGTGGGAAAATTATTGTCTTCTAAAATAAAAGCATCTAGTAGTAGTTCTATGCTTGTCAAGGGGATATAGTAACTATATATACATATTTCTTGAGTTAACTTCAAAGACTTAAATTAAGTTAGTGAAAAGATAAAGAAGAAAATCTATAAATAAGCAAGTAGATGGGTAAGAAAGAAAAAATTGTAAATGAAAAATTATGTGAGAAAATAAAAAAGCAAAATTTTATTTTATTTTTAAGTAAAGCATTAATCAATTGGTCAGGGTATTATCTTAAATTAAATAAAATTTAACCCAACCCAAATAATTTTTGCTAAAATTTATTTACGAATGAAGTTTTGAATTTTTATTTGTGAGACAAAAGAAAAAAGTATTATTCACATGAAAGACCAAAGGAGTCTGAATCAATAGACTGTACAAGTCAATTGTGATTAAAAGGTGTTTGTTGGTAGGCTGTTATTGTCGAAGACAGTTGAAATTGGGCTAACAGGAATGTGTTAGGCTTCATAATGCCCAGTGATTGGATATTACCTTCTTTTTTTTTCTTACATTAGAAAAGGATTAAAACAGGGTTTAGATAAAGCCTGCAACAAAAAAGAGACAGAGTGGAGTAAAGGTCTGGACTAAAGTCTTCAGCCCAACGAAGAAGACAAAAGCATGGTCCACCAATATATACTATCATATTCAACCAACCACATAGGTTAATATCGGGTTTTATTTCTTTAGGGTTTTCAGTTTTTTTTTTTTTTTTTTTTTTTTAACTTAGTCCATGTTTTTGTTCTTTAGAAAACATCTCTTTATATAAATTATTATTAATTTTTATTCTTAATTTATAAATAAAAATGTCCTGATTTAGATTTTTATCTTTAGAATAATATTATTACCATAAATTTTTATTTTTGAGATATTATCTATTTTTAAATTTTCATTTATCACAATTTTATTTTTAAAAAATTTTCAATATATTAAAATAAATTATTATTTAATAAATTTTCATTTATTAAATATACGATAATGTATTATAAAAACACTTTTTTAAAATATGTTACGAATTATTCATTACTAAATATGATTATTCATGTAATTCAACGTATACTATAGAAATCTTCTTCTCAGTCTAATCTAAAAACAAAATGTTTTGGTTTTAAAAAAAAATTTGCACAAAACACAAAAGTATATTAAAATATAAAATAAATTTAAAATGTTTAATTGTGTTGATGACGACGAAAGTATTCTCATATTTGTATCTGAAAATAAACTTTTTGACACTTTTTTGTTTTTGTTTTTTATATTGTCTTTTGAAGAAAAAAAAATTAGACATTTTCAAAAAAATTAGACATTTAAGATGTGGAAGATTATTATATTATTATTATTTTTGTTTTATATTGTTTTAAAAAACACTTATTTTTTAATATAATCAAATATTAAATATAAATATATTTGTTAACAAATAAAATATTACTTCAGTAAAGCTCTCTTTCCACGTTAATCATTTTCCTTGTAATTACTGACTATGAAATCACTAAATTTTTATATTATATTTTTCAGTAATTCTTCTGACTTTTTTTTTTTTGGGAAAAATTATATACCTTTTTTTTTTTTACAGAAATTATATTTTTTATTATCTCCATTAACATTCATCTTCTATTAACAAATTTTTTAAGTGTTATTTGGATAAATATGTTTCTTTTAAATACATTGTAATTATTTATATCTTTCTCTTTTCTATTCGATTTTTGAAAATTCTTGTTTTATCTTTGATTTTATTTCTTTCCATGTTAATATTTGTTAATTTGTATTTTTTTTTCTCCTTCAAATTGTAGAGTAATATATAGCAGAATAGTTCATGTAAAGATAAAATTCGGTCCAAGAAAAATGTTAGCATTTTATTTTTGTTTACTTTTTAAATTTAAATATTTTTATGCGATTTGAAATTAGAGCATATATTTAGTTTATGTATCCAATTGTTTATAAACTGGGGTTATGTGTAAAAAAAGAAAAAGAAACTATTCCTACATTGTCTTATGAACTAATCATCTCCCAATGTCATTGTTTTTTTTTTTTCAAATGAATTTATAATAATTTATAGTCATAACTCAATAACTTATTTTCATATTGTTTCATTAATAAGTTTCATTAGGAGCTTTTATAATTCAAGTAATTAATTGTTAGAACTTATTATAAATAAAGAAATTTTGTATGTATCAAAATTGATTGAGTTGAAAAGAAGAAAAATGTTTTGTACTCTTCTTATAAGTTACACGAGGTCAAGAAAGTTTAGAGATGAAGGTAATTAACAAATAATTTAACATAAATAAATTAAAGGTAAAAAAATAGGAAGAAACATAGGACTTCTTTGCTAGAAAATAAAACATGATAAAAATAGATCAAAGTCAAAGAAAATTCATAAAGACAATGAAGATGACTTTATTTTGCCCCTTAATAAAAAATTAGTTAAGAAATAAGAGAGGGTCAAATTTATTATTATTATTATTATTATTATTATTATTATTATTATTATATATATATATATATGAGAGAGAGAAAAAGACAAAAAAATCAAAATATTAACAAGTTTTTTATGGATATGAGATAATCATTAAAAAAACTGTTTTTTTTTCAACACTGATGTCTTGGTTTCATCATCAAGTCAATTATAATGTAATTTTGTTGTATCTGAATAAACTTTTTTAATTATTTTAATTTTTTTCTACTTTGAGTAAATATATACCCGATTTAAATTTGCACATGAAACAAATATTCCAATACTATATTTTATTATTAAAACTTCTAATTTATTATTTCATATTTTCTGTAAAATATTTGTCTACTATCACAATTAAGAATGATATATCGGAACAAGAACATACACAAATAATAATAATCGATAATTGGTTTCATTAAACAAAAATGTCATGTTATCTCATGATTAACAACTTGAAAAAACTCATGAGTTCTTTAATACCTGTTGTATTCATAAATACTTATGAATATTTTTATTTAAAATAAAATTATTTAAAACTATTCTTCAAAATAGAAACTCAAATAATTTTAATTTAACGTAACATCATAAAATATTAGTATAAATAAAATTAACCTTTCTAAAATATTAATTCAAATAAAATTAATTGTAATACGAAACATAAAGTTATATAAAATTAGTCCTTTTAACTATAATTTTGATTCTATAAATCTAAATAAAAGTCATAAATCTATAAATTAAATTTTTTAAACAATATTTTAATTGTTAATATTTTTATGACCAGTAACTTCATTTCAATTTTAAATAAAATTTATTAATATCATAGTACTATATTCGCCCAATTAATAAATACTAATTAAAATATTTACTCATTTATTATAGATATTCATTTTAACCCATGAAATTATTTTGATCTTGTTGATCCCAGATAGAATATACATTTGTGATCGTATTTATTAGTTTAGTTGCATCATTTTAGTATTTGGTGTGACATTTTGAGCAAGAAATTTCTATGTATCACTATTGGAAGGAAGGTTGAAGATTAAGTAATAAAAAAACAATAAATATGATATCATGGAAGTTTTCAGGGAATAATGTAAATTGATTATCTCACAATTTACAAAAGAAAAAGAAGATAAGGAAATGAAGCACATAAATGCAAAGCTTCTTCTGGTGCTGTTGGATACGATGAGAAAAGCATATTTTGAGAATTCATGGATTAATAAAAATAATATTAATGATAGATAAGCATTTGGTTTTTAGATTAATGACGACCCTACAAAATGATAAACATGTGTAGGCACGTTACTTTTGTCTCCCAAAGAAGACAAAATAGGTCGCAAACACAGTGAATGTTTACACTCCAATCAATTCTCTCATCCCTTGCTGCAAATCCTTGTCATATGCACGCTTTCTTCTTTCATGTATGGCCTGTTAAAACGTACCAAGAAAAAAAAAATTTCAGGGGAAGATTTTATTGGGAGTCTAGTTAATTGTTATTCTAAAGTTTTGTATGTAAGTTATGATTTTGGTTTCGAAATTTAATAAATATTTAATATATTTATTTATATATTTACGTATTTATTTATTTAATTTTTTCATAATTTTATAATTTTTATATAATTTATAATTTTATTTTTATAAATTTAATAATCATTTAATATATTTAAGTATATATTTATAATTTTATTATTTTATTTTATATTTTTCTTTTTTATTTATTTATTATTTATTAATAATATATTATTTAACTTCCTTATTATCAATAAGATGTTGTTTTTCATGAACAAACTACTTCAAAGTTAACTTAAGACGAGTTATCAGCTTCGCTATAAGGGTATGCAACGAGGTGGAATACGAATCTGAGGAAGAAAAACTAACAAACTATAAATTATCATTTCTCAAATTAAAAAAAATTATATATATATATATATATATATATATATATATATATATATATATATATATATACCCATTTTTGGCCAAATCTTTTTGGATGTGCGAATATACTTAAAAAAAAAACATCGATAGAGACGTGTGTTTATTTAACCTAACAAGAAGTGAAAAAGTTGAATTCTATAAAGGATATTATGCAAGTAAGTTTTTCAGATGCCTTAAATAAATATTTTTTTTAAGATAAACATATTTTTCAAATAATAATTATAAAAAAATACTTATTTTCACTACAAATAAAATATTTTATTTTATTTTACTATATTAGGAATTATTTTAGTAAGTTTTTAATCTTTGCTGCTAGAAGTTGGTAATTTTGTCATATGAACTACTAAGTAATGCAATGTGTAGACCTATATGTATGGATTTAAATATTATTTGGAATTGCCAGTGTGAAAATAATACATCTATATGGGAAAGTTTTACCAATTTTACAACTCTAATGGTAGACATTTACGATTAGTCATGATTTTTTCAAGAATATTAATTTTTTATGTAATTAAAATCATATACATCAAGATACATATTAGTTAATGATCTAGGTGATATAAAACTAACTAGTTTCTTACGTACGACGTTTAAAACCTCAATGGAGTAATTATATCAAATACAAATAAGTGTAATAGTTATTATATGAAAAAATATTTTATCCTTTTATTTAATACATCTAAATAGAAAGTTTATTTTTATAATTATAATAATTATTTAAAAACATGTTTACCATATATACGAATTTTCATTAGTTATATGATATAAAACATAAATATTATTTCTTCTCTTAAATGTACATAATACATTAATAATGGAAACAATGAGAGAATTTAATATTATCAAGATATTAAATAATTAATATAAATATGATTTAAAACCTAAAATAATATTGTAAGAGTCTGGAAATTTATTCTATTATTTATTTATTATCTCATTTTTATTATTATTATCATCTCTTATACTAATTTAGGTATAATGATGTCTTCATAGTTAGAGCTCTTCATTTTTTTCAACATCTAGCATAACTCGATTAAGTAAATTTGAAAGAAATTGTCTCAATTAACCTATCTAAGTTCTCATTTATTATCATGTTCTCTTGTAAGAATATTTGACATTCATCGAACAACTTCTCCTAGTCATAGTCAATTTAAAGTTCAACAAGTAATGGTTAAGATTGGTCTAAACTCTATCAAGGGAGTTAGAATATTAGGTTTCATCTCATCTTTATCATGACTACAATTGAATATTGAAAGAAGTGAATCATTATTCTTATGATATTATCTTCATATCCTATGTGGGAGATATTTATAAAATTTATGGTACGTGTATTGATCTAGATGCGGTTGAGAATTGTTTTTTAAAGTGTGTTTATATGAAGTCTGATTCAAATATTAAAAAATTCAGCTTTATTTATAAATATTATTTAAAGAATTAAACGTTCTTGTTTCTTTCTTTTATTTTTAATGTGATATATTGTTCATGTGTGTTGTTAGTAAACTTCATCCAAATAGTTTGACTTTTTTAAAAATATTTCAAATTTATGGATTTTTCTTCGTCTTATTATTACTATAATTAAATTTATGTATTTTTATCAAAAAGTTAGTTAGTTAGGTTCACTTGAATGAATCTCAACACAGTATTCTTTTTTAGTATATATTTTTCTTTGTTAAAAATCCATTAATTTTTTTTTCAAAATAAAATGTGCTTAAGATTATTCTTCCAAAAGATACTTTTTGAAGTTGAATCATTCTACTCATTTTCTTCTATACTAGCAAAGTCCTGAACATTTAAAATCAAACTCCATATAAGCATAATCACAGGAAAACAAATCTCAACAATAAGGTCAACATTAACATTAAATAGGAAGAAATATAATCTTCTAACTCCCTCCAGTATAGTTTGGATTAGCCATAACTACTACTTATTGAGTCTTAGGCCTATTATGATTAGAAAAAAGTCTACGATAATTAGAACTTATTATCTTTGCTATAACAATAATCACCACAATCATATCATAGGATGAATTCTCTTCTCCACTAAAGCAAAAAAGTATATTAAACTCTCTTCTTTAATATGTTCATGATCCGGTAGGATGAATTCATGTTTACGTACAAAGTTTAACGTAAAGTAAACCACTAAATCATCAAAGGAACCATAATTAGAAAAAGACATAATATTAAAAAGAATACAAAATGTACCTAAATAAAGTAAAAAAAAAACATGTAAGTAATTAAAAATTTAAACCGCACAGTGACAATGATTGATTCAAATTTACGTATTTAAAAAATCTCCTATAATAATACAGTAATGAGTAATACTTCCCCTTCAAAAACACCTAATCAATATATGTCGCAACATTAATTAATATCACCTAAAAATTTTGAAAGGTCAAACTCTAGTACAACTTATCCTTTGAATAATGAAACTTAATAAAAGACTTAAAAACATAATACTACATATTTGAGTATATAACAGATATGAGTATACCTCAAATAAACTTATAAATTTACATAGTTTAAAATTTAATAAATTTATTCACGACCATTAAGCTCGTACCTATCCAAATATATATTAATTATATATCTTAAAATATAAATATTAATAATACAAAATAATATACTAATTCTTTATTAAAATATTATATATAATTTTTTTTTATCATTATATATATATATATATATATATATATATATATATATAATTCTCATGTCTTTATATTAATTTAAGTATCATTGACATATAAACCTTCTTTCTTTTCAGTTATAAAAAAAAAAAATATATATATATATATATATATATTATTATATTTTTCTGCGACAATAATTTACATTTAAATAGATTTTTCATACTTCTGTCTGCTATATATTCTGGTCACAGCAGTTACGAACACAGGCAGCAGGCATATTCATCAAAATATTTCGAAGTAGAGATTATAAAAAATATCTTCATAAGACAAAAGCATATGTTAATAGGGTATTGGTTTATTTGCCCACAACTGAAACAAGGAATCTCAATAGTACTCAAAAATCTATTTTTATTTCTTTGTAATTGTTCAGTTCGAACTTGAGATGTTATGATAATGTATTTTGTAGTGACGAAATTTGAAGGTGATGCTTTTTAACAATAAATAACTCTCAATAACTAGCAATGACATAGGTTTACCTTCAAACTCATTATCGTCATTTTACAATAAATACAATTATAACGATAATGAATATTTTCGAAATATTAGAAAATTATTCAATTTTTATTTTGTATGTTTAATTGACTCCTTATTAACCGCATCTTATCTAAAGAAGAAATTTGAAAGGCGTTATCTAAATATGGAATAAAAACTTGATATATACAGTTATTTCTGTGTTATTTATTTCTTACTCTATTAGAAATAATTTTTTTATTTTGATAATATAAATATTATTTTCTTGATAAAAATATTTATTTCATAAATTATTAAGGTGAAATTTAAATTTTAATCACAGAATAATAAATTTATATCCATACTATATGAAAAAAATCTTTTTTCTAATTTTTTATGTCATTGTTTCTGATATAATATTAATATTAGAGATAATATAGAAAAAAATAAGTATTTTGATTTATATATTTAATAAAGTAATAAATATTTTTGTAAAATTTAAAAATATAGAAATGTGAACATAATATAAAAATGTTATTAAACTGCGGCATCCTGAGAATATTAGTTAAGAAATTCAAAATGAAAAAAAAATGCTTAAAAATACATTCTATGATAGTTATTTTTATTATTATTAGTATTAACCAGATCATCGTGCAGACACTCTTTCAAAATTTTTTTTATTAATGTTTAAAGTTTTTTCACATAAATTAAGAAAAATAAATAGTTTAAAACAATAATACTTATTCAAAAATCAATTGTATCAAAATATCTTACTTTTTTTAATTCCAATAAATATTTTACGAAATATTTCAAAACAACAATATTTATTATAGTACAAACTTAAGATATTTGTTTTATTGGCAATTAAAAAATATTGATCAATGTATAGAATTTAAATATTAAAACATCAATCAATTTCAAACTACCCATTATTTCATAGTTTCAACCTAACACGCATTTTCAAATACAGAACAGTAATTTATAACAGTAATATATCAAACCCAGAAATACGACCAATCAACATAGAACTTTAGCGATGACACCATGGATTCAAAATAGAAATCCCTGTTTGCAAGTTGTTAGATGTAAAACTAATCATTATTTTAAAAGATTCGTTGTTAAGAGGGTTAGGCATTATGTTAAAGTCCATGATTAAGTCATTAATAATCTCGATTTCACAAATTTTTGTAATTTATATCGACATTTATAATTTTGGTCCTAAAATCATTGATCAATATCGCCAGTGACTTTAACCGTTTTAAATCAAATGAAAACTAAATTCTGAGTTGATAGATAGGGTAGCAGCACGTTGTTATTCAAACTCCATAAAATATTGAATGCAAAATTTGTATGTTGGAGTTTATATATGCGTTTGCGTAGTATTTGGTGGATCTGTTTGGTAGAGAATGCATGCATGGACGGAACTCCAACCATATGGAAGGTAATTGAGCACATGTAACCATGTGAGGTCTTCCCAGTGAAAGACAAAAATTTGAATGCAAGAGTAACATGAGGATGAGCGTGGCTCGTTTTTCCACTTTCCGTGACCATGCATGAGGGAGGTTCATAATCACCAATTGCTTAATTCTGTGCTTTGTTTTATTTCCACAATGTTCTCTCTTGGCCATAGGATACAAGATTATGTTCAAGAAACAAATAGTAAACCAATTTTCCATGCACTCAACAGAATAGTCAAACTTTCTTAGTTGGAATGCCAAAGTAACAACACACCTAGATCCTCTCTCTCTCTCTCTCTCTCTCTCTCTCTATATATATATATATATATATATATATATATTGTTAGTATAAATATTTAACCAATAAAAATCTTATATTTAGAGTAATTAATTTAAAATCTATAATGTCTAAAAAGATGTGATTTTTTTTATGTACGTAGAAATTGAATAAAAGTGTTTTTAAATAACTAAAAAAAATTGTAGAAGCTGAGTAATCCACAGAAGCAAGCCATTACGTAGCTATCCAAGCCAGCCAAAGGCTCACGCACATGAATCCCCCTAAAACCAACTATGCCACAATATATTTTATAAACCCAAGCAATATTAGATTCTCTTATTCTTTTATATACATACATATTATTTTGTATTTTTTATAATACACTTCCACTTTTCATTATTCTCTCTCCTACTTCGGTCATACATTTTGCTTTTAATATATAAGTGAATTTATTATTTAAATTAAGCAAAATTTTGAATAAATTAACAAAAAATTTACATTTTTTATAACTTTCAATTCTCGTAACATACTAAAATTTAAAAATATCGAGACACAAACTTTGTTTTATAATCTAATGGTGTAATATATATATATAACAGATCTGTAGATTAGGAACATTGAACACAGGAAAGAAAAACATGATGAAGGGTCAATGCATGCCCCGCTTGAAAAGCAACTCCTGCAAGAACAAAACACCATCTCCAATGACCTTATTAGAGCGTTTCAGAGAAGCAGTGTTCCGCTTAATGATGCTATCCGCACTTTCAAAGGCCACCACTAACCACCGTGGCTCCGGCGACGGAGAACGCCAACACCGTCGTTTCAGCCCCCATGATCCTCACCACAGTGAAGCCGTAGCAGATTGCATCGAGTTCATTAAGAAAAAGGCTGCCACCGACACCGGTTAATCAAACCCTCACCACTGTCATGTGATGTAACAAAAATGAAAAATACTAGTTCCATCTTCTTTACTTTCTTTGTTCCAATTCTCTTTTTTATTTTTATTTTTTTCTTGCATAATTTGATGTGATGGATTTGTAATATTTGGCTCCACTGATGTATGTACGCATGGTGTGAGACGGAGAATTCGGGATCTTTATGCTTTTTTGTGAAGTTGAATTGAGTAATGTGTAGATAACAATATATTTAGTTCATTAATTGTTTTGTTTTGTTTTGTTTGCTCCTATGTGTTTGGTTTTGTTTGTGAAAGGTTGATCGTAGGAAGTGGACAAAGTGGTTGATGCAAAATTAATGCGCATGCATGTCTTCTGGTTTTGAATTAATGGGCCAACCATTTTCCAGTGTGTCCCTTGGATGATGGTGAAGTATAATTTTTTGCCGGTGTATGATTTGAACCTTCTCGCTTCATGAATATTGCAGGCAGAGGCAGTCCCAATCATTTTTTTTTACTTGAATATTATAATTTCTCTTGTTCTTGAGATGACTTTTTCTATATATATATCTATATTTTTAATTGATTTTCTTCCCATTCCTGATAAAAAAAATAGATAATAATTTTTCTTTTAAGTTAGAAATCATGATTGTTCGTATTATTTTTATTTTTACCTTTAAAATGTCCTTTCACTCAATCGGTGAAAAACTAATTTATCCAACTTTTAAAGTTTGAGATAAAATTCTTTAAACCAATAACTTTTATATATTTTTTGTTATTTCAAATAATTTTATTTTCTGCTACATATTTTAAAACATATTTGAACTATTTATGCACATCTTTTCTTATAAAATATTAAACGTTTTGTATTAAATATTTCTGCACTCAAGGTTATTTAAAATTAGTAATATTATTCTTATTCAATATAAAAATCGTTAATAGTTATAACTCTAAACTAATTAAAAAGATAAAAATGAATTAACATATGCAATAACTAGAAGTAAGGGTTTCGTGTAGAGTTTTTTTCATAATTTGGAAACGCATTCCTTTTAAGCAGTAAAATAATATATTAATAGAAGTTTGCAGCAGCAATAATTTTTTTTTTTCTGCTTTTACAAAAACAATAACGATATAATGAATGAGATTAAAACTAGCAAATTTTTCTTGGTATTTAAAAAAAAAAAAAAACACTTCTCAGTTCTTATATGTCGGGCCAATCAGTGTGAAGCCCGTGTTTTGATCGTTTAAGCGAAATGAGGCCCATCAAGTTACTGGTGCTGATTTTATGGGCAAGGAGTCCTTGGAAGGGACACACTAGGATAGTGTGTCTGTGTGTTGTTTTTGGTAGGTGGACAAAAATGTGTTGATTTTTATAATTTTTTATCCATAGTGGACAACGTGTTTTTGAAGTACTAAGCAAGACAATTGAGAAACGGAGAAGCACCCACGTTGGAGTAGGAGAATCGATCATAGTTTTGTGGAATCTAATAATAAACTGAAACAGCCATTTAAGGTGTACTTGTTTTCCCATTTGTTTGGGGACAGCATATGGGATTCTGTATTGTTGAGTAAACAGGCACCAACAATGTGTATCCAACTTTCTAAAATACAATTCAAATTATTTCTAAATAAGTTTTTCAAGTTATTTGCAATACACTGATAACAGATTAAATATTGTCACATTAATCTTAATAGTAGGTGTGTGATATAATTCAAAATGTTTTTTTTAATATTGATAATAATATTAAAGATTATTTTTAATTTGTAAATATAATAGAGATATTTGACATTTTCTTTTATATTTTCAAGAAGTTGATAAGGTGGTGAGATTCTCACAAATAATAAGACAATCATCCAGGAAAATATAATGCTACATTTAATAAAAAATCTCAAAATATTAAATTTGTGAGTTTTTTTTATCTGTTATTCAATTTTCGTATCTATTCTAAGATTTTAACCCACACTTAAATTTTAATAATTATATTAAAAGAATTATAAAGTAATTACAGTCTTTTTATCTAAAAACTAAACCTTAGTTATTTTAGCAATCATATTTATGGGTAAAAATACAATCATCAAAATATCAAACACAAGACAATAAATAGGTAAAGTTGGCCATATAAAAATATAAATCTAATTAAAATTTCAATTTTTTTTATAAAATATTACATCAATTTCATATACCCAATATTTAATTAGATTTCTATTTGATGAACTCCAATAATTAAATATTTAACTTCAAGAATTTACTATATTGAACTTAAATATATGATAATAACACTCATTAATGCCCAACTACAATTAATTACAAAATAGAATTTACAAATTTTTTCTTATTAGTACATTCATAAAAATGTATTCAATTAAAGGGTTAATTCATAATCTTGTTCCTTTAGAAATATATATTTAATAACCATAATCTAATGTCATCACTAAAACTAGGATGACAAAACGGGTCAATCCGTCCCATTTTAACCTGCCTGCCAAGGGATCGGGTTGACGGACTAATGGATCGACTGCATAATTTAGAAAAAACTAATTTTTTTTAATAAATTTAATAATAAAACTATTATTTGTTTGTCAATAATTTAATATATATATATATATTATTTTAATTTAATAATATAAATTAATACATTGTTTTTAGAAATTACAATTTAGAACAATAATAAAATTTACATAATAATAAATAATAACAAATATATATATATAAATAACGTTAAAACTTATAAAATTTATATTTTTATATTAAAAAATTTAAATACCTATATCTTTTTTATTTGATAAAACTTCGTATTATTCTTGGTTGAGTAATTCTTACACCTTTAATTCAAGTCATAAGAATAAAAATAATCAGTACGTAAGATAAACAAGGAGAACAAGAGAGAATGTTGTGTTTTGAGTAAGGAGAATATTTTCAGTGAGAGTGAAACTTTTTTAATTATCTTTTTAAAATTTTTAACTTTATATATTATCTTTATAATTAATTTTATTACAATAAAAAATTATTTTTTTATTAATTAGGCGAGCCACTGGCTGGCCCGTCCCGTCCTGCGGGTTGGTGGACTTGGCGGGACGAGCAAAAATGGACTGGTGGGCTAAAAATCACCAACCCGCCCGCCATATTATGGCGAACTGGTGAACCGACCCGCCGAACCTGACCCATTTTGCCATCTTACTAAAAATACTATTGATAGATATATTTTTACTCATTCTTTTATGTTTGGTTTATAGTATTTTAGGCTAGTGTTGATGTTATTTTGTTATTTTTTAGATTTGTTTTGATTTAATAAGTCAATTTAGACATTAGTTGTAATTTTTGGTTAATTTTCGTATTTTTCCAGTTTTGTACAGTTTTCTTACGCAGGCCATATCTGGAGCTACAGACCTCGGATTTGGACGTTCTTGGTGTCGTTGGAAAGATAAGAAAACGATCTGCAACTTCTCTGTTGGACGAAAGACCCAGTTCAAACTTTAAGGATGTAGAATTTTGCTTATAAAATTACAGTCCTGGGCAGATTTTTTAGATTAGGACTTAATGAATTGTAATTAGTGTATTAGCGGCTTAAACTTTGGGCCAGGTCATGTTTAGTCGGATTTAGGCTCATTAAGCCATTTACATATAGAAAAAAATTACATTAGGCAGAGGAATTTTTTTTGGACGCTGATATTTTTTTTGAGTTACGGTTTCTGTTTTTGGATCCCAAACTTTTCTTCTCTCTCATGAACTCTCTTTTTTCTCCCTGGAGATTTCTGTCTTCTCTTTCGCATTTTGGTGCTGCAATATGATAATGGTGCAAGGCTAATTCAATAATCGGTGAGAGGTTCAAAGATATGGTATGTTGAGTTCTAAAATTTTTCCTCCGATTGAATTCTTTCCTCTATACTCTTCTCTGTTTTGTTTTAGGTTAAAAATGGATTGCATGATTATGAATTCGTTTTTCTTCCATGAATAGATTAGAGATTAAATTCAGATTTGAATTGACTTAAATCAATTTTAATTCAACTGATTACTTTCATGAATTCTGATTAGGACATTGTTACGTGATTACATTTCAAGTTTTAGTAAAGATTCATAATCAAGATTTTGATTTCTGTTGTCAATTTCAATTTGGATTTGTGATTGCAAGTTCATTGAATTAAGATTGGTTGAGTGAGAATTTGAATTTAACTTGAACAATGAAAGCAACCATAGGGAATGAACCTTAAACCGATTCCAATTGTTAAGGGAGAAATTTGTTTTAATTTCTGTTTTTTTGATTTCTGTTTCAGAAAATTAAACCCCCAAATCTAACCCTAATTCCATGATAAAAAAAAATTGAAAATAAAATGCATCTTGTTGTCCCTGAGAATTCGACCTAGGTTAGCTACTAATTCTACATTCATAAATCAAGAAACCTAGTTTGTTTGTTAACCCTTACGACGTGGTTACCAAAATGGCGCCGTTGCCGGGGACCACAAGTCATTTTGTTTTGATTTTATCATGAGTACTAACTGTTTGTATTTTCATATTATGTTTAGCTTACTGTTTGAGTACTAGTGTTCTATTTTGTTTCAGTTTATTGTAGACACCTATTTTGTTTCATATTGCTGCAGGAACAAAAGGAACAAGTAGTTTGTGGTTGAAGTATTAATATTGGTCATTCTGTTGTTTAGTTCTCTATTCTCTGTGGATACATATATTTTGTTGTGTCTTGTTGCTTGTTCATAGTTGCAGGTCCAGAGAGATTTTCAAAATTGTTTCAATGTTCTGTGTTCTGTTTTAGTGGTTCTGTTTCAGTTTTGCTGCTACAAGGAACATTGATTCCCACCACTTGCATTCTATTGTGTTGAGTGAAATTAAGTCCTTGTATTTTTCTATCTTGCATCTTTGTGTGTGTTCTTCCTTTCTGCAGATGCAACAAGACCAACCAGAGGAGAATTGGAAATTCTAGTAGCAGAAAAACCAATGGAACAGTAATTCAATTGTTGCTGTAAAACATAATTTTGCTATAATCACATTGTTTTGCTGCATAA